TTAGTTTCGTTCATGCTAGACATGAACACATTTGTGTATTTAAAGACCGCCTGTTTCTATGATAGAAAAGGCAGACTTCGACAGACAGTATTTCAATATACTTGGTTGAACGGTTACTTCTTTGTTTCCCCAGTACACCCTTGAAGCCTCCCTTAGTTCTCAGCTCTCGCCTCCTCTCTGGAAGAGCAGGCCACCTGCCAACTATCGTATCTATTACCGATAACGTGATTAGCACCTTGCGAACACGTTACAAATAGGCTGTAATTTAATCACCCAAATTCTCAGCCCTAACAGAAAGTATTTTGAGAGGTTGCTGTGGAGCACACAGTAGGGCAACACGAGTTATCGAATATTTGCAGTTTGGATGAGATACCAATATAATTCAAGTACTTGCAGGGGAAGACTTATGATCATATCAGAGAAAAAACAATTTGGGTGAAGGAAAGTAGGTCTTGGTAGAACAAATGACAGACTAGCTTACTTCTGTATATATTTGCTAATGGGGTTCCACAAGCACTACCTATAGTAATATTTCATGAGACTGAAAAATGGCTTAGGGCAGAGAAACTATGCTATCATTCAGATATTTTGATAAAGTATAATCCGACAGCCTACATGAATGATTCTCTTTTTGGAAATTATATTACAAAGCATCTGATTCCTTTACTCAGAGGATGCCCAACCCTTTTTACCCTCGATCTTATGGGGTCTCATAAGACTTCTACAGTTCTCCAACTCCTCCACAATAATAATATTACCCCCTCCTTAAACCCTGCCAGATGTATATGTCTCAACCAACCTCTCAATGTCTTAGTAAATAAGCTCTTTAAGGAGCTAATGAGAGATCTTACTGCTGAGAAAATCTTTGTATTAGAGTCGGCGGAGGACTTTCAAAAATGGACCGTGGTGGACTGCAGGGTTATGACTACTTACTATGTAGGCAACGCATTCAATCAGTTCCATTCTTCTAAAAGTCATGTAATTAAAACTTCTTTTCGCAAATTGGGATTGTTGCTTCCAATTGATGGAAGCCAGGATAACGAGTTAGACATAAAAGAGTTTACAAACTTAGAAATTGGGAATTGGATGAAGGATTTAGCCTCATTAGATGAGAGGGCAGAGGTACCTGAGGAGGGGAGTGATAGTATAGCATTTATTGAAACTGAAAACTAATACTAATACAATGATATTTATTATACGGTAACTCTTCTAACATGGTTCTAGGAAAACGGTGATGGATCCTAAGGAAAGCACAAACAAAGGAAGAAATATAAGCACAATCTCAAAAGACTCTAGGAGGAGTGAAGTCTTCTGGTTACCAAGATTCAGGATACTAGGAGTATCCACTGTAGTTGCTCTTAATTCTAACAGTAAGACTGACGTTGAAAGGAGCTAATTTCAGCATCACAGGCCATCACTCAATCTCTTGGCACTATTACACACATCCCCTTGTGCAACTTCCAAGCCCCGATCCCCGATAGTGGATACAGCGGGTTTTTATGGTACCTGTAGTTACTTTTCCATACGGAGTTAAGAGAGTGGTGGTCGTACAGCGCATTCAGGGGTATGAGAGAAGAAATAAAAAAAAAGAAGGGGGTTTAAAAAAAAAAAACAGAAATTCGAGTAACGGTAAATCCGATCGGAGGGATTGATTGAATGATTGATTGGTTACGGTAAGAACAATCTAATTGTTTGACTTTTGTTGTTATGTGGGGGGGATGATGATTAGGGAACATATTTTTGATAAACGAAGCGAAGCGCTGCGATATGCCCCCAGTATGAAGCCGTCAAAGGGTATTGCCCCACCTACGGAATACAAGTACAATACTGTAGTCTCCCGTAACTCTTTTCTTCTTGTGAGGTGGGGGGGGGAGACGGAGAGAAGCTGTAAGATTTAGATGCATATTTTTCCAATAGATCCGAGCTCCAAGATTTTTAGCAGATTCCAACGGGTGTCCACCTGAAGGAGGGGCAAATAAGTACGTAGAGATGGACAAGGAATGATGGGGAAGTGACTGAGTCACCACGAGTACTGTACTCGAGTACGAGTACTGTACTCGAGTACGAGTACTTTCCAGCATTGGTGCTAATTTGCTATGATACTGTACCAGGAGCCTTTTTTAACATGCCCTTGTGCGATACCGGGCTCATAACCCCTTTTATCTTACTTCTAATATTTTCTTTCCCTTGCCCTGATAATGACACCATCATCCCGCCTTTTCCATACTGCTGAGTCTAAGGGCCTGCACGGGAGATAAGGAGATGAGTACTTCATACCTTTTTCTTTTGCTTCCCACCTCGCTTTTCCTTGTTTTCGCTCAATAGCAACTTCACGACAAACGGCAAGCGACAAGCAGCAACCTAACTTACCGTCAAACGCCTACCGGTACCACGGTAAAGGTAGGATGACTGATCGTCAACAAATTTTGTGTCATGAAATTGTTTTGCTTTTTATCGCATCAGAGTTGATGACCAACAGTGGTGATGATTTTTGATTACCGGTATGAGGGGGTTGGATGAGCAATCGGGCACGGCTTTCCATTGATCTTTTTTTGTGACCTGGGAGATAGGTCAGAAATAGGCCGGGTCACAACGACCGCACACACGGTCCACAAAGGGGAGATTGCACACAACCAAAACCTTTTCTCTGCAGCTCGCGAAAGGCTAGAAGGTTGCCGCTTTCAATGCCTTGACACATCCTGATTTCCTGATCCTGTCCGCTTGGCAAATGGTGGAGCGGCCACTCACATTTTTCTGAACGAAGTTCAATTTCCCAGGGCTCGGTCAAAGCAGCGCGCTAGCAACCGAGACACCTTATACAGCAAGCTACCGGGGTGTAAGAAGCCAGGACTTTCACTGCATTGGGATATGCCTAGCTGGGTCCGGCAACAACGAGCATCTTTCCCCCTTTTTTTCCTTCTTTCTTTTTCTGCCCTTCACCCATTTCCTTTTTCTATGTTGCTCGAAGACTTTTTGGGATCACTGGGTTGGCAGGCGGTAGGGGCAGGATATCCCTGGCAACCGTGCGTTACGTTACGTGCGTCTCCTTTCCCTTTCGCTGCCAACCTCTTCAATCCCCTTGAGGCCTTGACCATTCACGAACCATTATTCTGGAGCCAAAGCGCCCCATTTGGAGAGGATTAGAGGGAAAGAAGGAAAGTGTGAGAAGTGGGATACCTACGGTACTTTATACTGTTACAAGTAGATGGGGAAAGATTCAATTGGTGGAGGGGGGGTTGGAGGGGAGGTGGTTCATGAAAGAAAGGAGGGAAGTTCTCAGTCATGGCCCCTATCGATCTTCTTGACTTTAAAGGAACTGGATTGAAGGGTGGTTTTTAGGTGTTGTCACTGTCACATTGAGCTTGGTATATGGTCGAGTATTGGTGGTGATGAACGGGCGGAGACTGCTGTGGTTGGTCCTGGGTTGGGGCCGGCCTGACCCAAGCGGCCTTTAGGTTGTTTTGGATAACGATGGACATGTTCCTGGGTGTTCACAGAAAAACAAATGGGCAGAGCAAAAAAAAAAAGAAAAAAAAAAAGGTTGGATTCGCATGCGCGCCCGGGCTTGGATTCGGATACTTGGTATGATAGTTACAGTACAGTACAGTACAGTACAAGTACGAGTACAGTTAGGAGGCAAAATAGCTAGCAGAGCGCACGCTTATGAGTGAACTGGATGAGAAAAAAACGCCAGGCTTGCTTTGCTATGCCTGATTTTTGTCTGCTTGCTCGCTCATTCATCTAGTCACTCTCGCCATCTCTGGTGCTTGTCTGACCAGACTAGCAAGCACATACATACATATACATCACACCCCATACATACATGTACCATACTGCCCGCCGCGCTTTTCCCACACTCCTTAAGGGCCCTCTCCTTCTTTTCCTCTTCTTTTCCCCTCCCGCTGTAGTTCTGTCCTGCCTTTTCTCTTTCCCATCCATTCTTTAGCCCGCTTCTTCCTTCTCCCCTTTCCTTCTTCTTCCTTCTGTCCTCCCCGTCTTCCTCTTCCCAGTCACCTTCATTTTAGTTGTTTTTGTCTCTTGGAGCTTTCTCAGCTGGGTGTTGCGTTGTCTTTGCTCTCCGTTAGGGTCCCTTTTTTTTTCTGCACTCCCCTCAGGGACCGCTTCCTCCTTTTACCCCCTTGCAAAAGAGTAATACCATCCAATTCTTCCGATACTGCACCCGTGAGCTTAAACGTTCTCTGGTTCCTCTCATCCTTCTTGCATCTTTCGCTTTCGACATTTACTACTCAATTAATTTTTGGTTTGACGGGATTCCGGCACGATTGGTTAATCGGTAATAGGAGAATTGGAGAAATTTTTTTTATCTGGTCGATTAATTTCCCCCTGGTGAGCACCCATGACAACCTCCTTACCTTTACCCCCTTTAGCAATTTGTGAATGAATACCCGTTCAAAACGTTTTCCCATCTATAGCAATCATCCCTTTCTGCCGGTTTCCAGCTTTTGCTAATAGGTTCTCACTGTAACAGATAACTCAATTCACTTCTACCTGTTTATCGTGCTTCATAATATACCCCCCTTC